TCGCACTTATTAAATTCTTAATGCATGATATATGAATTGAATGTTATTACATTTTTCTGTTAGTTTTTTGTGCTCATCGGTACACCTTGTATAACTTATGTTCGCTATTTCGTGTTTATCTGTACATTTCGTATAACTTAATTTTCCTATCCCTACCGTAATAATGTTTGATATTACACAGAGTGAATGTTATTGCATTTTCGTGTTAGTTTTTGCATGCTTAGATGTACATTTTTTATAACTTACGTTCGCTATTTCGTGCTTATCTGTACATTTTGTATACCTTAAATTTTCTTTCCTTATTACTCTTTACTATTGCGTTGTATCTCTCATGTATGATTTTATAGGAGGTCTCACTCACAGTCTCGCGACTTTGAGACCTCCTTCTGTATTTGTACATAACACATGCACTTGTATCACTTGTATTTCAATTCTGAATAAAATAAATAAAAATGGATAGATAGATAGATAGATAGATAGATAGATAGATAGATAGATAGATAGATAGATAGATAGATAGATAGATAGATAGATAGATAGATAGATAGATAGATAGATAGATCGATAGATAGATAGATAGAGAGATAGATAGATAGATAGATAGATAGAATAGATAGCTAGATAGATAGATAGATAGACAGACAGACAGACAGACAGACAGACAGACAGACAGACAGACAGACAGACAGACAGACAGACAGACAGACAGACAGACAGACAGACAGACAGCACAGACAGACAGACAGACAGAAGATAGATATAGATAGATAGATAGATAGCTGATAGATAGATAGATAGATAGATAGATAGATAGATAGATAGATAGAGATAGATAGATAGATAGATAGATAGATAGATAGATAGATAGATAGATAGATAGATAGATAGATAGATGATAGATATAGATAGATATAGATAGATAGATAGATAGATAGATAGATAGATAGATAGATAGATATGATAGATATGCTTAAAGTCGACGAAGTTTGCTAAGAAATGCCTCGCATTTAATATTCTAACAAATATTGAGTTACTTGGTTGCTGCCTAGAATGACGCTCCTATAATTGTCCATGATAAGCAGCTGCCATACGATAAAAATTGTTGATACCGTACGTGTGCGCGGTAATATTTTTTGTACCAATTAAATTTAGGATTCTGTTGTGCCTGTATAATGAGAGGTTAGTAATACAAAACACGAAGTCGTCATAGCTGACACACGAAGAAAGAATCCAATAGAGAAGAAATGATGCACGCAGAAACAAACTGGTAGGCAAATACATCTAGTACGTTCCGGTAAGTCAAACATTCTGTGAAACCAGCGGTAAATTTGCAACACACGTTATATCGGTGGGTGGATTAAGACACGCATGTTTAGCTTCGTTAATTAGCATGCTGTGTTCGCTTCAGATTGATCTAAACTCTGGCAGAAACATTCGCAAGTGGGCGCGTCTTCATCCACTAGCGGCTGTCGAGTGTCTGGCTGGTAGTTGATTATGACAAAGACGTGAACAAGGTCTTCAATGAAAAACATCGGGTGACCATTAAGTTTCGCCTTTAAATGTTGAGTACAATAGCGAAATCATGTCCCTAGTGCGTACTTCAACCACTTAGTGCGTACTTTTTATCACATGGTGTTACTCGAGAAGTTCAATTGTTGATCATTACAACGTAATCGATAAACTTGAAAGTGACCTGTGTAAGTGAAGCTTTCGCATATGGCTGCATTCTCTCTATTGGGTAGCTTGCTTTAAACCACTAGCAATCAGACGCGTGAAATATTTTCAGACTTGCAATGCACCCGCCTCATGATCTTGAAGAAATACGCGCATAACGTGCACGGCTTTTTGTGCAAGCGTCATCTTACCTGTGAATAAGGACGCCAAGGCAGTTAAGCATCCGCAGTGATTATTGACATCTGTACGGCGAAAGGAGAGAGCCAATGCTTGCATTCAAGTTCCACCTCGGTTCGCTGCACTCTTCAGGCATCAACGAGATCTCACCACTACGAAAGAGCACTGTTTTACACTTACTTCACTTTTGTAGAAAAACTGACTTGTAAAGTTTGGTGCAAAAGGCACTCAACGTAGCCCACTCCACTTTAAATCATGGTATATCAGTCAAATCTTGCGATCTAGCTGAAATGAAGCGGGGAAGGGGGGGGGGGAATTTGTAAAAAAGAGACCATGTCCTTAACCTCGCGTTTCCTGAGATAATTCCATACCACTACAACACCCCCACCCACAAACACACTAACGGTACAAACGAGCACCCATCTATGAACACACCCTGTGACATTGTGATTGTAAACTTATCTGACACAGGTTTGTCACCAGACGAAGAAAAACTGCTATCCAAAGTACTAAACTTCTGCCCAACCACGACAGAAAAAATTGGCCACACATCTGCATGTTATTCTGCAAATGTCGTCGAAAGACGATAGTCTTGCATGTGGAGAGAGTGAACAAAACATTTATTTGATGTTCTATGCAAGAAAATTGGTGAGTGGTATTCTATAGGCGCTGCGTTAGAGTGCCTCGAGCGTGCAGCGGAGGCGAACGAGCGCATCAAGTCACGACACACGTAAGACATGAGCGCCATCTGGCAGTTTTCTTGGAAAAAGAAGCGCGTGGCTCTGAGACAGGTGTACGTGCCCGTCTCAGAGGTGATAGGGTGTAAACCGCAAGGCGACGGGTAGGTACCAGCACCGTTGATTTGATATGTGGGGTTTAACGTCCCGAAACCACCATATGAATATGAGAGACGCCGTAGTGGAGGGCTCCGGAAATTTTGATCACCTAGGGTTCTTTAACGTGCACCCAAATCTGAGCACACGGGCCTACAACATTTCCGCCTCCATCGGATATGTACCAGCACCGTTTCGTCTTAGCAAAGCGCTGGGAGCAGTCGCCATTTCGTGCAAGCGTTGCATGGTCAGCGCAGCGTGATAAGTGCTACGGTCCTTAAAATTACTTATGTTTGTCTTTTCTAGTAAAATACGCACCTTCAGAATATATACGTGTTGTTAAGGTGCCCCAGACATGCGCAATAATTGCTTTTTAATTGACAATTGCACAAGCATGAACGCTAAGTCTTGAGCAACATTGGTCGGCGCTGCGGATGGGGTCGGCCGTTTCAAGTACCCGGTGCTGTTAAGAGTGGACAAACAGACAAGTTTATAGACAGACAGACAGACAGACAGACAGACAGACAGACAGACAGACAGACAGACAGACAGACAGACAGACAGACAGACAGATCAAAATGTTTGCGTCGAAGGTCCCCAAGAAGGACTAACGTTAAAAAATCACAGCATATCCACGGAGCCTCCCCGTCCATTCGTTCTTGTTTCCGTCCGTCCGCGAGACCATCCATGCGTCTGTCCATGCGTCCATTCATCTGTCTGTCCGTACGTACGTCCATCCGTCCACGCGTCCATCCATCCGTCCCTCCGTCTGCTAGTCCATCTGGCCATTCGTCCGTGCGTCTGTCTGTGCGTCCATCTAGTGAACACTCCAAGTACCACCATCTCGCATCTCGCATCCCCTGTGGCACATACCCACTCTAGAGCGGGTATGTGCCAAGCGTGTCGCGCCGACGGACAGGGTACATTGCTCGACACTAAGAAGCTTCGTGCCTATATTGTCACAGTTCCGAGAAATAAACAAGGTTGCAACATCATGACTGCACCAAGCAACAAAAAATAAAGGTCATTTGATAAGCTTTCTTGTCTTTATTTTCGCAGTTTGTTCATACAGAAGAGCCTATATGGACTTGGACTACAACCACCATTGAGAACGTGCTGTGTAAAGTGGATGAGATGAAGAGTTACACACAAGGATCCATTTTCTTCAGTACAAAATATTACACTTACAAAACTTTGTTAGTACACCTTAAGTCTTATGAAAAAGTCTGCAGTGCTACTGGACCATGATTTATTTCAGGAACCCAATCCTGAAAAACTACGAGGGGATATTTTTAAAAGAACAACCAAATGTAATGAGACTTCGTAAATCAGGCTTTAAAAGTAAGTTCATGGTCCCACTCATTTTTTTTTGCATCCGAACCATGGTATTAACACTGATCACAGGAAACGCTAAGTACACATATATGTTGAATTTCGGCTGACGTCGTTGAGGAAACTGTGTAGGCATTTTATTTTCATGTTAACAAATTCCACACATCAAAATAATTTGTGTGATATTAACACCTGTCCTATATTATACATGAATAAAATCATGCTTTGTTTTCCTAAATGAACGCGAAAAATAGCACATCCCACGTGGCATATGCATTAGCCAAACCAGAAGCGGTAGGGTGCTACGTAGCATTCGTGCTCCCGAGAGTGGTAGTCCTGGACACTGCTGAATGAGTCAACTTCTGCGGATGATGCTTGAATACAATTGACGTTAACTAGACGTGACGGCTGTATCACAGGAGTAAATATGTAATGTTCATAAAATTGGACAGGTGGACCTGCAACCCATGGGGACGTTTCGCCAACGTTCCTCCTGCATAAGGTGTTTCTCCAAAGCCGTTGCATGAGCTGGCGTGGCTTTGTGGTATAATGCTTGATTACAACACAGATTGCGCGTGTCGCGATTGCTGCTGCGACCCTTACATTCATTCTTTGCATTCGTGGGATCAAAGATGCCCATGCCAGTTTTTCTGGGCGCACTTGCTGTTTTTATTACCAATGTGTCATGTTGCCATTCCTGCGTAGATATGAACTTTTCATCTCCCTTTGCATGCACCTGCCCGTGCCACAAGTGTCTGGCGAAAAGGGTTTAAAGGCGTACGCGACGGCATCGTCAAATTATTCATGCCACGACCAATGAGTGATATTTCTAAAACCACCTTACCCTTCCATACCAATTTTAGTTTACCCGAAATTAAGAGGGTGATCTTGAGCATTTAACATGCTTAGCCATGCCTTATGAAGCTTAGCTTTTGTTAACAGCATGCTGAAAATGCTGCATTTCTTTGGTCTCGTTTTTTTTAGGTGCTGTGTTCGTTGGAAAGGAGACCCTAATTTATTGGAGGAAAAAGTTTCATTGCGCAGTGATTAAAGTGGCACCTTCACTACGTGGTTTGTAAATGCAATTTTGTTTGATTTACAAAATTGCTACTTGCGCCTTTTACAGCTGACTGTGATTGAATGCTTCATTATTGCTGACGCATGCACCTCAGAGATATTCAAGTACCTATTGTCGGAAAATATCTTTATTTAAAGTTTTCTAATAGCACCTCAAATGCATGCATGTCACTTAAGGCTGCATGACAATGACGGAGAGTACACGAATTCGTCTGAGATTCTTTTTTGTTTGTTTGGTTACGTTTCACCAGCAGCCACTCAGTCGCAAGGCGAATTTCACCAGGCGGCGAGCTCTTCTAGTTTGCTGCCTTGACATTTCAGTCTCCCCAATCCTAATCAGGTCACCAACTTGACAACGATTCATTCTTTTGCCGAAACAAAAGCGAAAACAGAACAATCGACAAAGCCACAAGTGCGATTCGCCGCCCGCAAGTACGAAGGCAAATTTATGTGCTACCCATTATTTCCATGGTGGCTGCACAAGCGCATCGCCAGAGGGAGCTCTGGTACTGCGATCGTTCAGTGCACTGTAAGTATGATGGGAAGAAAACTGTCTTTGTTGACACCGAAGCGTCGTAAATAAGCAATAAGGCTGACGCTCAAAATAGTGACTGCGCACGCACATAAAAAAATGTATCGCTGCTCGGCGTTCTGCCGTTCGTGCTACATAGTCACACGCCAGAGATGTGAATTAGGAAATGCGAGTTTGCAGACATCTCGTCTGTTTGTTTCTAGGCTGCCTGATCCGTGCATGTGGTTCGTTTTCTTGCGATAGCAATTATATGTACACTTTGGGGCTGGATTTTGCCGCCAGCTTAAGTGTCGACGATGGCATCGCCATCACTCACCGCACACGTATACGTATTTATATATATATGAAAACGCAAGAAAGAAAAATAATCAAGAAAGCAACTCCCGCGAGCGGTACCGAACTTGGGACATCTGAAACGTGAGTGCGAAGCGTTAACCGTCAAGCCACGGAGGGGCACGTCCTTCAACGTTGAAACGGCAAGCTATTTATATATACCACGTACCGCTGTTGACGGGCATTTCGGGGTAACTGTCGTGTTTTCAGTGTTACCAGCAAGATGGTGCAATGAGTTTGCGTAGCCACATCATCACGACGTGACGGTGCGTGCTCTTATCTCCCACGTGTACTTTGCGCCGCAGAGAGAAGGGGTGGACGCTCAGTCACGCGCCTTCATCTGGTGGTGGGGAGGACCGTACGTTTTGGCTGGCCTTTGACTTTCACCGGAACAATCCTCTTGTATTTAGCGGGCGCACAAAGGTCACTGCAATTATTGCGTTGTCCCCGATTAAAAAAAAAGCGCGCTTTTCAGACAGAGTGAAGTAACAACTGAGGCGCCTATTCGCGTTCATCTGTACCTGTGAGTACGTTTCGTGCGTTATTTGTGCCTGAAAAACGCGGGGCACGTTTTGATCTCCTTGCATTGTGCGCGTGACCTTCCAATTTGTTGCTATCGCGTTTATTGCTTCTATTTTGCGACAAAGGTATTACTTTTTTTTTACTCAATCGCACTCATTTTACAGCATAGCCGATCCCATTCGTAACGGTACTGTTTTTAGCAATATATTGGTTGTACCAATGAGAAGGGGCTGCACCGTGATTATTTGTATGTACTATATACTGAACTAAACCGCTCACAACAATATACGCATGCTGCGTCATCAGTCGTAACAACCAATGACTGTGGCTACTCAGTGCACTTGCCAAAAAAAATGAATTACGAAATCCATGACGAAAAAAGAAAACGTGTGGTAAAGCCAACTCAAAGTGGGCTACGGCGTTCGACCGACGGTGGCATATGTTTACGCACTTTCGGACATTTAATTTGAGCAAAAAGTTCCGACTTGGAGGAGTTACGGCATTGAGAACTTCGCATGTTGTCATACATTGGCTCAAAAAGGCTCGTGGTGAGCCCTAGAAAGCATCTGAACTTTCTAGCCTAGAATTATCCCCATCCCTGGGTATGTCCCATTCGATGTTATAGTTTCTTCATAGCAGTCTGTTGGCCTGCAGTTTTTATTTATTTTATAAATCATATTTATATAAAGCATCAGTTAAAGCAATGCAATTTTTGTAGTACTTGAGTATTGTTATAAGTGGCTTCGACTCAAAATTTGTTCGTAAAAGTATAGCCCTTATTTTACTGGATAACCCTGGGACAAGAACCGTCTAAATATACGTTAGGCGTACTGATTGCATTAGCTTTACTCGTAATGGTAAAGTTTCTTTTTTTAAATAGTTCTTGCTAACTATTATTTTGCTCTTCGTAGGTCACCAGCCGTATTATGAACTCCGTGTTTGGAATTCCACAGCATCTGTCGGCCCTCACGAAAAATGTACCAGACGATTCCAAAAACTAGGTAAAAAAGGACGCGTCATTTACCACTCCAAGTGTCAGGACATTCTGAAGGTGTGAATACCGGAGCATGGCGCAAAAGCTAGAGCGACGCAAATGTTTATTAACTACACTACGTCCAAGATTTATCAATACCTAAAAATGAAATAAAACGTTGGCAACAGTGCGTTATGTCATGATACATCCGACTCTTTCTTAATTAAAATTTGCCGGTGAGTATAGTTCCACTACGCGCATTATACGCACTCACGGTAAAAAATGCGCTTGTAGTATTTTATAGAACAGTAAATTGGAGAACCACATTGCGTTATGTGCCAATTTATATTCTGAAAAGACAGCACATACCATGAACATATGTTTATTTAAGTATGCATACCGACCTTCACGTCACGCCTTACACGTTAGGGAGAACATCTAAATACGTGGTGCCCTCACGGTTCCACGGGCGGTTGCGACGATTTTCGTACAGACGCAGCTGGCTCTGTTAGGTGTGCTCTATCGGCACCCGCTATGGTCTGCTTCCGCGCTTCTTATAGTTGCATAGCGAACCTTTCACGTGATCAAGAGCACCAGTCACGGTGCTCATTGTGCATGGATAAGATCAATTACAGCTGCCGGCCGTATTGATCTTACAGCGACTGCGACCATAGCTCGGCATACTCACTCATGAGTACACTCACTCACACTCATTCATACTGATTTGAACGTGGTGAGTGTGAGTATGAATGAGTACTGATGAGTATGAGTATGGGTGAGTAGAACGTGAGTGAGCACTCATGAGTGTGAGTAGGAGGGAGTATGAACGTGAATGAGTATTCTGAGTGTGAATAGGAGTGAGTATGAACGTGAGTGACTACTCTGAGTGTGAGTATAAGTGAGTATGAATGTGAGTGAGTACTCTGAGCGCGAGTAGAATTAACTATGAACGTGAGTGAGTATTGTGAATGTGAGTAAGAGTGAGTATGAACGTGAGTGAGTACTTTTAGTGTGAGTATGAGCGAGTATGAACGTGAGTGAGTCCTCATGAGTGTGAGTGGTTGTGAATTTGAACGTGAGTGAGCACTCATCAGTGTGAGTATCCGTGAGTATGAACGTGAGTGAGTATTCATCAGTGTAAGTAGGAATGAGTGAGAGCTTGTGAGTGTGAGTAGGAGTGAGTATAAACGTGAGTGAGTACTCTGAGTGTGAGAAGGAGAGAGTATTAACATGAGTGAGTACTCAAGAGTGTGAGTAGAAGTGAGTTTAAACATGAGTGAGTACTGATGAGTGTGAGTATTCATTAGTATGATCGTGAGTGAATATTCATGAGTGTGATTAGGAGTGAGCGAGAGCTCATGAATGTGAGTAGGAGTAAGTACGAACGTGGGTGAGTACTCATGAGTGGGAGTAGACTTGACTGCGAAGGTGAGTTAGTTGCTACGAGTGTGAGTGGCAACGAAAAGTACGTGAGTGAGTGCGCCTGAGTATGGGTAGGCGTAAGTATGAAGGTGAATTCTTATGTGAATGCGGAGGTGAGTGAGTGCCTATGATCTTGAGCAGGCGTGAGTATGAAGGTGAGTGAGTAACTATAAGTCTTAATTAAGGTGCACTAAAAATTGAAGTACAAAAAGGAGACACCTGGACACGGCGCGCTGTCTCGAGGTGTCTTTCTTTTGTACTTCAATTTTTCGCGCACCTCAGTTAAAATGAATTACCAACTCGCCCAGCAGTCCGTGTTTCTCTAAGAGTGTGAGAAGTCGTGAGTATGAACGTAAGCCATGAACAATGAGTGTGAGTAGGCGTGAGTATGAATATGAGTGACTGTGAGTAGGCGTGAGTATGAACGTGAGTGACTGTGAGTAGGCGTGAGTATGAACATGAGTGAGTACTCATCAGTGTGAGTAGTCGTGAGTATGAACCTAAGTGAGGGCCTACGAGTGCTAGCTGGCGTGAGTATGAACGTGAGTGAGTACTGACAAGTGTGAGTAGTTGTGAGTATGAAATGAATTTGTACTCATCAGTGTGAGTAGTCGTGAGTATGAACGTGAGATAGGACCTAGAGTGTAAGTTGGCGTAAGTTTGAACATGAGTGAGTACTCATGAGTGTGAGTAGGAGTGAGTATTAACCTGAGTGAGTACTCTGAGTATGAGCATAAGTGAGTATGAACGTGAGTGAGTACTCATGAGTATGAGTAAGAATGAGTATGAACGTGAATTAGTACTTTCAGTGTGAGTAGAAGTGAGTTTGAACGTGAGTGAGTACTCATGAGTGTGAGTAGGAGTGAATATGAACATGAGTGACTACTCTGAGGAAGGAAAGGAAGGAAGGAAAATAGAGGGAAAAGAAAGGCAAGGACGTTAACCAGCCTATAGGGAGCCGGTTTGCTACCCTGCGCATGGGAGAGGGATGGGGGAGATGAAAGAGAGCGGAGAGGGAAGATAGAAACAGCACATTCGGCAGCACACGCGCGCACACTCAGTCATAGTCCAGTCTTGTCTTTCGCGGTGTGTGACATTGCTGTTACAGTCGCTTGTTCAAGTCGGTGTCGCGTAGGAATTTCAACAGAGCTTTCGTCGCCTTCTGTTGTAATGTCTTCTCTCGGGCGCTTGACAGAATAGTGTGCACAGACAATTGGCTGTTGTCGATGCGCGCAAAAGCAGACGCCAGTGACTGTCTCTGGATTTCATACAATGGACAGTCACACAGGATGTGGTGTAGCGTCTCTTCGCAATGACAGGCATCGCAGAAAGCGTTGTCGGCCATTCCTAGGACAAAGGAGTAAGATTTTGTAAACGCCACTCCTAGCCATAAGCGATGAAGAAGGGTGGCTTCTCTTCTGTCGAGTCCAGTGGGCATGCGGAGAGCCATCAAAGAGGACAGGTGGTGTTGACGATTCGTATCTATGCTTGGTGGGCACCATAGTGAAAACGTGATTTCACGCGCAAGTCGTCGAAGATTACTGGCAGCATCAATCCTCGAAAGTGGTATGGCTTCTTCTCGTGTTCCTTCAAGGGCTGCCCGCGCGGCAGTATCGGCATGTTCGTTCCCTATGATGCCGCAGTGACTTGGCAGCCACTGAAGCGTCACATGATGCCCTTTCTCGAGTAAAGTGTGGAGAAGGCATCGAATTTCGAAAACAAGCTGTTCGTACGGGCCGCGACGCAGTGCTGAGAGCACAGATTGTAGGGCAGCCCTTGAGTCGCTGAATATCGACCATTGTTGCGGTGGTTCTCGATTGACCACACAAAGTGCAGCGCGCAAAGCAGCTAGTTCCGCTGCTGTAGATTGCGTGGAGTGGTCAGTCCTAAAGCTGGTGGTAACATCTCTTGCTGGGATAGCTACTGCCGGGATATCTGAGGAAACCTCAGCTATTGCTGGGATATCTGAGGAAACCGAGAAACAGGGCCCTGTAGAGCTCCATCATTGCGTCTACTGACATCCCCCACGTCTTTCCTGCCAGGAACTTCAACAGTTGGGAAATAGTGGTCAGGCGCTTCTTCATATAGGTCACATGCGGACTCCAACAGAGGTCCCTATCAATAATGATGCCAAGAAACCGGTGGGTTTTGGCGTAAGAAATCGGTCGCCCGCAGATTGAGATGACATAAGGGGTCATTGCTTTGCGAGTGAAAGCCACCAGCGCGCATTTTTCTAGTGATATGCTGAGACCTTATTTGAACAAATAGTTGGCAATCATAGTTGCTGCTTTTTGAAGCCGGGAACGTATCTGAGGACGTGTGACTGCCGATGTCCAGACACAGATGTCGTCTGCGTATATTGAGATTTTAATGGTGCTTGGCAAGTATTCAGCAAGGCCAATTAGTTAAAGATTGAATAGCGTCGAGCTAAGAACTCAACCTCGAGGAACACCCCTGGAAGTATAGCGTCGCGTAGTTGGGCCATTTTCTGTTAACACAAAGAATGATCTTGCAGCTAGGTAACTCGAAATCCACCGAAAGACTCGACCACCAAGGCCAACCACCGCAAGAGCACCCAAGATGGCTTCATGTAGTACATTATCATAAGCGCCTTTCACATCTAAAAACAAAGCTGCAGACAGTCGCTTACGGGATCTTTCGTGCTGAACGTACGAAACTAGATCAACGACATTGTCAATAGAAGAGCGGTCGCGTCAGAAACCAGCCATTGAATTCGGATAAATCTTGTAGTATTCAAGATACCACTCCAGGCGGCCTAGTATCATCCGTTCCATTATCTTCCCTACGCAGCTGGCCAGTGCTATTGGGCGATATGAGGTGAGTTCAAGTGGGGATTTGCCCTGCTTCAAGATGGGTAACAAGCGGCTTACTTTCCAGTCATCAGGAACATTGCCATCCTGCCTCGAGATGTTGTAGAGGCTCAACAGTTCTCTCCTTGCACCTTCCCCAAGGTTGCACAAGGCTCGGTACGGAATACCATCTGGGCCCGGAGAAGTTGAACGCCTGCAGAGAGCTAGTGCCGCCTCGAGCTCCTCCATTCTAAAAAGGAGGTCCATGTGGTAGTCACGGGAACGGGGGACGTCACCTCTCACTGGAGAATCTGGAAGAGTGGCTTGGTTGGCGATCTGCGCACAGAAATCTTCTGCGACATCGATGTCTTGCCTCCTTTGAAATAGCGCGAGCGCTTTGAATGGAAAGCGCTGTTCCGTAGGGTGACGCAGACCTTGCACCGTTTTCCAAATGTGTGAGAGGGGCTTGCGAGGGTCTAGTGACTGGCAAAACGTTGTCCATGTTTCCGACGCTAATCTATTCATGCGACGCCGAATCTTCTTTTGCATTCTCCTGGCTGCCCTAAGATCGTGAATTGATTTTGTACGCCGATACCGACGCTCCGCCCGGCGTCGCAGTGCTCGGAGTCGCTCCAACTCTATATCAAAGTCGTTTCGTGTGGAAGGTATTGTCACCATGCGAGTGGTGTTTTGCATTGTGCCCTTAATTGTTTCCTCTAACCCAGATCGTAGGCCATCGCTGCAAGCATCTTCCATGTCAGATTTGAAGTGTCCTGCACCATGGGTCCTCATAGGTGATTTCAATGCGCACAGTCACGCATGGGGAAGTACGCGGACAAATGCAAGAGGACGCAGGTTAGCAAACATCGTCTACAACTATGGCCCTACTCTCCTGAGCGACGGCAGCCCCACTTTTCTTCGAGCGGTGACATACGGCAGCTGTCTCGACCTTGCTTTTGTCTTCAACTCCCTC